AGGTGTTTGGGTTATGGCATCTGGGAGGAGCTCAAATTGAATGAGACCTGGATAACTGCTATGCAATCATGCATTCATAAAGTAGCTACCAAACGCATCTAGTGCAGCGCTTGCATGTAAAGTCTATGAAGGACCAAAAGACAGAGGTTATTCCAGGTGGTAAGATCAGAAGCATGTGCCCCAGGCAACGGTAAGAATAGGAGTTAGCGATGAATTAACTGGATAACCATGCTTTTTGGGTGCTCAACAATTAATCGATAATCCAGGGCACACTTGAGTCAGAAAACTTTGATATTAATTGATACTAACTTCTGCATAAATCCTTCCTGGGTCCCTTAAGTCCTTTGGGAGAAGAGAAAAAAGTCACACAACCGATATCCCCTGACGTATCTCAGTTATGCTGCTGACATAGCATCTGCATCTACACAGAGCTTATAGACTGCCGTACCAGTCTGGAGCAGCAGTCTGCCATTGGACCACCTGACCCTGCTTGTCTGCTTTAGATCTAATAAAGGGAAACCTGAGAGATAGGCAGCATTTCGTAAATGTATTTACTATGAATATGATCCTGTATTGAAAGACGCAAGGTTTCAAAGCACAACGTGTTGCTGGATTTAAAGCCCTGGCACAAAACCGCCTCTGCAATAACGATGCATTGCCACGTGCCCTCTCGGAAAGCCTGGCGTGCTCAAGCTGTGTTCTTAGCGGACAGACCCCGTTAGTTTCAGAAGCTCACCTGGGTGTCCATGGGCACAGACTTTTTAGCCTGTGTGACTCCTTAGCACTAAACCACATAGCCTACATACATGCTTTTTCCTACCTTTATACAAGAAGGTAGAAATCTGTTTTCCAAAGTGACTGGAGACACTTTTGGTCTGAGTACTTGAAACCAGACCTTTTGGATATGCTGTACAGCCATTTCGGGGCAGATATAAAGGCGATGGGGAGGCGCCCGCGATACACCGAGGCTGGGCGAAAGACACACTTGCAAAGCTCACGCTTTGGCTTTCCACATGTCAGAAGTGCTAACCAGAAGCAGGTTTTGGTGAATACAGTACTCGTGTGTCACGTGGCCTTAATCCTTCTCCCTTTCCCGGTAGTTTTGCCTTCCGAGACATGTATTTCCGTCATCTTTCAGTGATCCTAAGGCACCTAAATAGAGGAGGGAGACAGGGCAGCCTGCAGCTTTCACACCATCCAGCGCTAGGACAGAGCGGTGGAGATAAGTCTCCAGCCCTAAGGAGACTGGCACTACTTGTGCGGAATAACCTGGAAAAAACAGTGGTTAGTGGCAGAGGTTTTGGGAGAGTGAATCACTCCTGGCTAGTTAGATGGGTCTTTCCGTCTTACTAGGAGCGGGAGAACATTTGGGCCTCCTCTTCCTCTTGGCTACATTTGCGTTGAGCACAGTTAAGCATAAGGGAGGACTTCTCCACAGAATGCCCTTGCGGTGTTTCTGTGATGTGAACTGAACTAACCGTTTTAACCAGGAAGCACTCGTATCAGTCAACATCTGCTTTTCCCAGCAAGGACAGAAGCGAACCATTTCCTAATTTAGAGGTGGGATTTTTCTGGTTCCACAGTATGCAGAGAAGCACAGCCAGTAACAAACACTTTAAAGCAACAGTGTCTGGCTCAGGGCGCGTAATTTTGT